AGCGCCTCTAAATTACACCACTCTTAAATCCACAGCAGTACACTATTATATCAGCAGAGTGACAAATCAAAGTATTAAAAGATTTTTTGCGTACAAATAAGGTTTCTATTTTGTAGTGAAAAAAGATTATAATAAAAGCATTGTAATTAAAAAAAAAAAAACTCCTTGCGGAAAAATGGAACCCGTGTTATTATGTTAACATCATTTATACAAATATAAATGAGTGTAGGAATAATGGTCTCCTAGAAATAAAACATTAAAGCTTACAAAAAAAAATCTCCCTGAGGAGAACCTAAATCCACAACACTATCACCTGCGCCTCAAAAGAAGAGCGTTATTACAAACACAGCACAACACAAATGTTGATGAAAAAACGAATAAAGATCAAACTTGAGGACAAGTTACTTGATAAAAAGTTCTGGTCAAGTAAAAGATTATAAAAATCAAACAATTTTTTAAAAAGTTTTTCTAGAAACTTTATTTAATTGGAAGAAAAAAATTTCATTTCTCATATTTGGGGAGAATGAAATATGCAAATGGATGGGTAATTACAAGAAAAAAGCAACCAATTAATAAAGAAAATATTTGTATTTATGTGATATTGTTGAGTCTTAAAGATGTCCCAATAGCGACAAGACTTCTTTGTTCTAAATGCCAACTTTATATTGAGTTATATAGCTCTATAAAAGTGAGCTTGATGTGACCTGTCCCACTTTTGCAGCTGGGAATAGACATGTATATGTAATCAATTACTAAAATTTCTTCCACTTATATTTGCTTTTGCACTGGACATCTGTTTATTTGTTTTGATAATTACTCAACTAACATTTAATCTCATATAATTTTGTTTTCTGCTTCCCTGAGGCTTTTACAACTGTATGTGTTCCATAAAATAATTGGACTTTTGATCCAGTTGCAAAGTTATAATAAAACAGATTTGATAACAATTGGTTTAAAAGTTTAACAAAGAATTTATAAAGACTCATTGGTCAGTTTAGATATAATTAACTAATAAAAGCCTTATTATACCATGCAAATAATTGTCATACTTCATTCAGCCTCATAGTTCACCATTTCTGTTTTAAATTTATAATTTATGTTCACTATTTTTATTTCAAATTCAAAAGTTTTATGACTATCTTACTATTAAAAAAGATTATGATGCAACCAAATATTTTACCATTCATAGAAATATATATATATATATATATATATATATATATATATATATATATATATATATATAAAACATATATACACACACACACACATATATATATATAATATATATACACACACACACACACACACACACACACACACACACACACACACACACACACACACACACACACACACACACACACATATATATATATATATATATATATATATACACATATAAACATTTCTATATGTAAATTATATATATTCTATGTATGTATATATATATATATATATATATATGATACATATAAACATATATATATATATATATATATATATATATATATATATATATATATATATATATATATATATATATATATATATATATATATATATATATATGTAAATGTGCGTGTATATATATATTGTATATATGTATACATATATATATAAACATATATACATGTGTATATATATATATATTGTATGTATGTATATATGTATGTATGTATGTATGTATGTATGTATGTATGTATGTATGTATGTATGTATGTATGTATGTATATATATATATATATATAATTTTAAATATTTCTTCAAAATAGAGCGCAAAATGCTTTTAAATGAAGAAAATAAATTTGATCAATGTTCTTCTTTTAAAAATATATACATTCTATATAAATTTTTAAAAAAGATCATTGAAATGAAATCTATTTCATATTGGTGATCTTCTCTTAAAAATAGATTATACATAAAAACCTTGTCATTGAAGTATAAGCATCTTTATAAACCATATCTGAAAAATAAAAATAATTATGAGATAAATATGTTAAGACTTTATTTTTTATAACATAATAATAACACGTATAATTATTTTAGTATAACAAAATACATAAAATAACGAAATATAAAACATCAAGGTCATCAAATATTAAGGTTATAAGAAGAGGACTTAAGTTAGACAAGTATTTTTTAATCTGCAATTTTTTATATCAACTATGGCTATATATTTGTGTGTAAAAACATAGAGTAAATCATACAACATTTATGTTTGTATATATATGTACACATATGCTTACATTGTGTCCATGAAATATATAACATATATACCTTTTTTCCCATTAAATTGGCAAGATTGGTTTTTTTTATTCTTTAAAAATGAAATTTCTTCAGATATATCATGATTGATCATTGTGAATAAAGCAAAAGAAAGACATAAGTCTCTCACAAGTCAGAAACCTATATTAAATCATAAAAAATCTTTCTCGCATTTTTTACGCGTTTTCCTTTGCGACCACGCCCATAATGTTACTGAGATTTCGGAAACCTATATCAAGTTATCAACGAAACTCAAAAACAAAAAACGTCATTTTTTCAATTAGATAATGAAAACGGTATATATATATTTTTAAAGTACTTCGTTTGCCGTTGTGTTTTTCAGTATAATTTATTTTAAGTGTCAACAATGTTTTGTGAAAAATATTGTTTTTTTTTAAAAAAAACATTAAAGGAAAATAATTTTACAAATTTGTCATTTGTCAACATACGCGCATAAGTTACATAACTTACGCACAAAACTTACACAACTTACGCGCAAACAAATGTTATTGTAAATATAATTCTTTTATTTATTAAAGCAACAAAAAGTAATTTATTTTTTTAGTTAGCTAATATTAGTCAACTAACTTTTCGAAAAAAGAACTGACAAGATACATTTTAAGACGCATAAGTTTTCAGGATTTTTTTTTTTTACTGTTTTTATCTGTACTTTTATTTTAATCTCTGCATTTTTTTCTCTAATAGTTTCCTTCTCTCTTTATTTGCTTCTTATCCTATCTTATTATTGCTTATCTTATTGCCTTTTTTACGACTAACTAATCGATTAAATTGCTTCAAGTTATTGATTAATTTTTTTTTTTGGTAGTAAGCTTACGCTACATTCGGGTAAAAAATTCGGGTGCTCATATATCTAAGTGGATCATGAGTAGTGATTCCTAAAAATCATTTATTCAAAAAAAATTTTGGATTTGGATTTATTTTGTGGAAATATTTCAATTTTTGCTTAAGGTGCTCCCCAATATATGTCAGTTGGTTTATGATTGTATAACAAAGTTTTAAAGATCTAGAGGTTTCTATATTAAAACTTAATCTAGTTCTAATATAAAAAAAAAAATTTCAGATGTTATGGTTGATGATGATTTAGTTTGATTAAAAATTACACTTTTTTTAGCGCTTGGATTAGTCATCAAATCGCTTTTTGTCAGTTTAGTCAGAACACCAAGTTTCTGTTAAGCATATCATACTAAATAAATGCAGCTGCAGCGTTAGGCAAATTGTGAACGTCGGCGAAATTAGTTTTGTAAGTCCCCTTTATGTAAAAAAAAAATAATAATAAAAATAAACCATGATTTGGCCGAATCTCCGGGCTTGAATTTTTATTGAGCATTATATTTTTTTGAAAGTTATAAACACACGTCAGAGCTGGTATCTTTAATTGTTATTAAAACATTTTATTTTACAATTAATTTTGATATAGGTATTCATACTTATTTGTTCTTAATATTTAAATATTAGGTTTCACTATAAGTTTAAAAATTTAGAGTTGAGAATATTAGGAGGAGCATATATGTTTTAATGTTAATTATAAATGAATTAATGACAATAATTACACGAACAAACACAAATTAAAAAAGACAAGCTTTTTGACTTTTAGCCTCGATGAATCTTTTTAAAATTGAGCCATAACTAACACCTGCTGATATTTCAACTTCAATGGACAAAATGGATAAAGCAGATAGTCTTCTTGGCTCATCGTGCTTTTTAAGAAGGTCTTAATCAGTTTCAACTTTGAGAAGCTTCTCTCCGCAAAAGCTGTACTTAATAGAAATGTGAGCATGATTCTGATTGTTATGTAAAGATTTTGATATATTTCTTCGAAATTACATTAGATTTCAAAATTTGTGGTTCTTCATAAAGTTTGAAAGGGTCTATAGTAGTTTTCACCTTCCCGAAGTATTGTACCTAAATTATTACAATGCTTGAGCAGGTACTCTCTTGGCAAAAATTTCAAATAATTGATATCGTAAATAAAACCAAAAGGGTAAAATTATTAATTAGGCGCTTTGAATCAAAATTCAGTGTCGTCTATGACTGCGTCTATCATTGTGCTGAAATAATTTACTTTGTACTGTGTTTCAGCAGATTGTATAGGTTCATCCGTGTGTTCATTACCGAACATTCGTTTTTTTCGCGCTATTCTTTTTTCTTTAAATTATGACTCAATTTTGTAAGCGCTTTTTTCCACAAATAATCGAGCATCTGCAACGCTTTTCTCAAATCCAGTATCACGGAATTCTTAAATCCAAGTACAAAATGAACGTAAAGTATCAACAGCGACTTTTAAGTTTGCTGCAATTGATTGCCATAGTTTACTTATATTATTTACATGTAATAAAATCTCATCCACATGTATATAGCAACAATAAATTCGAAAGTTAACATTTCGTTCAAAACTGCTTTGCAGTCGCTTAGAGTTTCCGATTCGTCCGTTTTATTTGTCAAGTCATTCACACATTCAACAACATTATCAAATTGCAACAGTATAGGTTTTACTGCTCCTATTCTACTTTCCCACCGTGTCTCTGAAAGAGGTTTTAGTGTTAGTTTTAAATTAGTTTTTGTAAGTTCCCAACGCTTGCTTGACTTCAAAAAGAGTTCACAGATTTTATTAATAAAGCCGAAAAATGCTTTAGGTTTCGTACAAGAATTAGCTACATCTATTAAAAGTAAATTCCAACTATGACATCCGCATGATGTGTGCCCTTGGATTAATGTTGAGTATTCTTGTTCTGACATCTTTATTAATGCCTACCATATTGGCGCCATTTTCATATCCCTGTTGTCGACAATTTTGTATATCCAGACCATTTCTCTCTAGTTCTTGTAATATGGAGTTTGCTATATACCTCTTGCAGTTTCCGTAACGGCAATAAAACCAACAAAATGTTCCTCTATCGCTCCAGTTGAGAAATTGCAAAATCTTAATATTATTGAAATTCTTCAATACGACTTCCATCTTTGGTGCAATCGAGCAAAAAGTCATAGTACTTTGATTGTTTAACAACTTTGATTGAGTATTTCATCGATAACTGTTTTAGACATCAATGTAATTAATTCATTTTGAATGTTGCGGCTCAGATACTTTTGAGCAATTTGCTTTTCATTAATTCGTTTTAAGTGCTCCTTTAGCGTCAGATCATATTTGGATAACAACTTAAATAAGTCTATAAAGTTACCACTGTTGCTGCTATTGTCCAGGTTAATTGATTCACAATGACCTCTAAATGCCAGATTGTGTGAGGTTAAAAAGTTTTTTATATCAATCAACCTTTCAAACAAATTATACCAATATTTTTGAGATTTTCTAATCAATCCCTTGTTTTCCTCATCTATTGTTTTTCCGCTTTTGATTCTTTTATAAAATTCCATCCATTTAACCATGCACTCCATGTGTCCTTGATTTTTTTCATGTTTATGCAATATCCGACTCAGATCTTTACAACATCTCTCTTTCACCATTTGAGTCTGTGTATGCGAAAATAGTCTATATGGAAAGCAATAAACTTTATCTTATGACAAGGAGTAAACTTATTATCTGTGGTGTTGAGTTTCGCCGTTAATCAGTTTTCGCGTAAAATGAAATTTAAAAAAATATCTGTTATTTACGTCTTTGGGTTAGTTTTCATCAGATTTCTCTATATTTTGATGTGGACTGTTTTGAATTAAGTCATAACGCTGAGAGTCGGTTATTGGAAATTGTCCATTTTCCGCATCTAAGTTTATACATGAGTTGCTTAATTGGATTGCTCGCTCTTGATTTACACAGGTCAGAAATTTAAGGTTTAAGTTTACTATCCGAGTACCCCAAAAATTTTAACAAATATAATAAGTGGGACATCTCGACACTTCATTTTCATATTTAGAAAAATCTGGGAGGTATCACATTTTTAGAAAAATATGGGAGGTATCACATTTTTAGAAAATTGACATTGAAAATCTGATAAAAAGTCATTATTTTCGTACTTAAAAAAACTAATTATACTGACAGAAAGTTGAAGTTTATTTAAAAAAATTTTCAAGGTCAACCAACTCTTCAAGGTCTTTAATTTAATATTTATACATAAACATTATTAGAATACACAAAGTTGGTCAAAAAAACATTTTTTATCGAAAATATTTCTTTTTGACTATGCATTTTTATTTTTATTTTATTAAAGATACCTAATATATTGAATCTATGGCTTCTCTGCTCTCTAAGGAAAAGAGAGAATACCATTTTAGAAATCATATACTTTTTCAAAAGATCATTTGCTGTTGCTGCCTTGAAAAGAGCAGCAAATGTATTCCAGTTAATAAAAATTTGGAAGGTCTGGTAAAAGTTTTCTATAAGCCTGAGTTTTCACTTAAAGTATTTGCCTACCGTACAGGATTATGCCCAGGTTGCAAGAAAAACTTATATCTCTGTAAGGCTGGTAAAACTATTGCAGACACAGTTACTTTAAAATGGAAAAATTCTGATTTGTCTTGCAAACCTTTAGAGATTGCTCAATATTATGCAATATATGCATAATATTGAGCAATCAAGTCAAAGAAGAAATAGATTATTAAATAAAAGTATGAAAAAGGGAACTAGCTCAACACTGAAACTTTGCCAAATATGTTTCTGTGAAATTGCTAAAGGTAAACCCCACAAATGTTCCCCTTTAAAGAGTAGCACAAATCTTTCTGAGAGTATTTCTAAAATTTCTTTCTGAGAGTATTTCTAAAAGCTTCTTCCCTTCTTAAAGAAATTTATTCTGATCAAGAACAAAGTCTAGGAGCTCAAGCCATTCTCAGAACATGTAAATAGCTGTTATGTACGTTCTTAAAATAAAAATTTGTATTACATTAAGGAGGTAAAAGTATTCATATTACACTCGGTACTCGGGAAAGTGACCAGAGAAAGATTCCTTATAATGAAGTTTTGGTAAATACCTTAGGACTTAGTCAATTGAAGTCAAATGAAATGTTAAAAACTTTGAGGAGAAGTGGTGTAAAGTTTGAGTCAAACATGGAGTTTTCTTTACCCTTTGTATTTAGAACCAAGTTATTGATAAACACATTTATAGTATGCTTTTTTGGTTTTTAGGTAAACAGCTTACGCTTACTTGGAAAGTACATGCTGTAACAACATATCTGGAAATATTTGTTGATTTGAGTGGCCTTTCCTTTGGGTAGTTTAATGACCAGACATCTGAATCTTGCCATTCCAAGATGAAAAGTGTAATAAAC